GATAAATTCAAACTTAAATTATCATTTTTTACAAAAACGCATTAAATGAATTAATCGCCTTGTTTTAACAAATAAATATTTACTAAATAAAATGACAATCAAAATATTTTTCCTCTCTCTCGTTGAATCAAAATAATCATCTTATTTATCAGTATTAAATGATCGTAATCAGCTTTAATTGATAATTAGGCTTTGAATAACTTTCATCTTTTTCTTTTTTCAATATATTCTATTTTTAAATTATCAACTGAAATTTCCATGCTAATTCTTCAATAAACGATGACAGAATAATCTTTTAGTTATGAGGAATACCTGAAATGAAAGATTGACTCTATCGCTGAACTTTTTTTTTGCTTTAAAATTATTTTGCTTTCTAATTTTATAATATTTTCACAACTTGATCACTAACAATTATAATTTGACTTATATTTTTTTACAATAGTAATGCTTAATTAATTTTGATTTAAAGAAGTACGACAGTCACATAGATCAGAAGTGGCAAATTGAAGAAAGTACGATGCGATAAAATTGATCAGACAAATATGACGAAGCAATAGATTGATAAATATTGCATCAGATAAATTTCTATTCAAATTCCATTATCATTTATCTATATTTCAAATTTAAATCATTGAAATCTGCGTCGCCAATAGCAAAAAAAAAGGAAACTTTCATTTTCTATTTTTTACAAAGTATTTCTCATTTGCATTGTAAATTTATAGTGAAAAGAAACAAAAAAAAGAAGTGATGAATGTTTAATGGATATATTATAAATTTTGTATATTATGATTTTCATTAATAAAGGACGAAATTTTGCTTATTAGTATAGCAAAGGAAAGTTTATGAAGGTGAATAAAAGATTATGCAATAAATAAAATTGTTTTAGTTTAATAATAAAATTTTCTATTCGAAATGTTTAAAACTTGAAAGAAAAGGTTCTAAAGAAAAAATATAACATTAAACATTGAAATTTGATTATAATTTTTTTTTTTTTTTAATGAGACGTGAAAATGAATAAATTTGTGCTATACTATCAAGTAAAATGGATTCATTCGTAATATTGTAACTTTTGTTGATTAAATTAAAATTTCATTTTTAAAATTTCCACATACGTATATATGTATATATAATTTCATTATTTCAAGGAAACAAATTTTGAATAGTTTGTTTTGCTCTATTCGAGTGTAAAATGCATTCAAATAGAACTAACAATTATTAATTAGAAAAAGCCAAAGAGATTGCATGTATTTTAGCAATTCATAGCAATTGTTTCAGTGAAATTTTAAAATAATAAATGTTAATTAGATTAGAAAAAAAAAATGACTAACTCAAACTTTTTGTATAAATGCAGGAATGGATTTTTGTTGTTATTAGCCTTTAACAAAACCTTATTGCAATTTCATTAAACTAATAAATTATACTAATTTCTTAATTTCATTAATATTTAAACATTTAGCGAGTTTGATTACTTGCGATGTAATATTTATTATAAATAAGTTTTCTTCCGTTAAAAATGTTTTGCATATCAAAAATGTATTTGCATTTATCTTAATTTTCATATATGTAACAGTAGTTGTGTGTTTTATTTTGCATTCAGTGTAATAGCAGCTTAAAAAGTAAGCATAAAATTATGATAAAATTTTGTACGTGAATACATGTACACGTACGCTTTTGAGTATGTAAACGTGAATGATAATTTTCAAAAATGAATTGTTAGATTGGCATAAATTGCAATACAATTTATCATCTGAAGCATAATTTATTACATATTTAAGAGAAATTTTCATGCGAAAACAACATTTGAAATGAAAATGACAGGCTAAGTGCTATCATCAAGAAACAAAGCAAAAGAAACATCCATCAAAATATGCTCTAAAATAAATTTTAAGTCAGCATAAGAACGAATTTAATTTCATCTGTTCACAACTACCAGCTTTTAAAACTGACCCATCAATCAGAGTATTTTGATAAAAGAAAACGATAAAATATAATGCAAATAGTTTCAGAAACAAAATGAAATAGAACAAACTAGGATATTTCATTATTTGATTCTCATTCATTTCATTAATTTCGCAAATAACTTTGAAATTTTACGAAAGCAAAAAATATTTTTAAATCAAACATTTTTAATCAGATTAACATTTGGAAATTTCATCATCAAGCATCATTATTTTATTGTTCATCAATCTTTAGTTTAAAGTTTTAAAAGCATTTCACGTAGTAATATTTGATGTTTTAAAACAATTTCTAAACTAATTTCAAATCTGGAAATTTGAAATCTCATTATTCAAGGCATTAAAACTATCATCTGTAAACAACCAGTTGGTTAATGTTTGATGACATCATTATAATATAAATTACAATGATGAAAATATACTGATAAAATAAAATTTTGAAGAAAAAAAAAATACAAAAGCAATGATCAGTTGACTTATATATTATCAATGTTATTTTAAAATCATTTTATGTTTGTTTTTGTTCGGTTTTTTTTTTGTTTTTTTTTTTTTTTTGTTTTATTGTTATTAATCCTCGTTTGGCATAGATTTTTTTTTTTGAACATAATATAAATAATAGAAATATGAAAAGATGAAAGAGAGAAATAGTTAATTTAACTCTTTTTTTTTTTCTATATTTGGATCAACTACTTCAAATTTTATTTCTTTTAAATAATACTTCTATTAAAATGACATATGCAAATATATAAGGAAAGAAAATAATTTTTTATAAGCAATAAAACAAAAGAGAAAGTATGGAGCAAATATTTTGTTTAGTAGCATTTCTATCACTATGCAAAAAAAATAATAAATAATAATTATATATGAAAGAATATAATAATGTTGCATGTTATTTGCATGAATTTGTAAATTAATACAGAGTGGCAAAAAAATTTGAGATAACTTCATTTTGATTGGAAAATGATATCTAATTGCTAAAAATATAATATTTGTTATTTCAAATAATAAATCGATTGTATATTGCCGTATAATTTGACTATTGTTTAAGAAATAAGATTTGTTTTATTTTATTAATGAGGAAAAAAAGAAAGAAAGAAATCAGATAATATATTTGTTTTTAAAATTAAGTATTAAAAATTAGGCATAATTTTGACAATAAATATTTGTAAAATGGTAAAAAATTAATCAATATTGATAAAATTCAATATTAGCATTAATTTTAATATTTTTTAATAATATTTATCAATACTGATTTCATTCTTTTTTTTTCTAGTCGATGAAATAATTTTGATATTTTCAAATACTAATTTTCTACTATCTTACTGTCATGTCAGAAAGAAAAATTATTGAAATCAAATTTCTTCTTTTTTTCCCAAGGTAGATTGATTATTTCTGCACACTCTGTATAATTAAACATTATTCAAGGAAGAAAGAAAAAAAAGAATAAATTAAGTCGACTTAAATTTTGCTTCAAATAAAATATCAACTAATGGGCAAAAAATATTATCCAACAAAGAAAAAAATTCTGTATCACATAATTGCTTTTTATCACCATTATCAATGATGATTGTTAAAAGTACCGGAATGTAATATTTGACTGTTGAAAAAATAAAAAATAAACTTCTTCTAAATTAAACATTTGAAATTCTATGGTAAATTTAACGCTTTAATTATTAATAAATATATTATTACCTACATAAAGACTTAGGTTAAAGGTTTTAAAAAAAAAGTGAAAATTTTTTAAATAAATTAAAAATTAAAATTTGTCTTAAATCTATCTAAAAATTAGAAATTTTTGAAAAAGCTACTCAATAATATCACAAAAATTTTACTAGAATTTGTATATGGATTTCCTTAAAATGTTGTAAATTATGTTAGATTACCTTGCTGATTAATTATCACTTACCTGAAATTGTCCATATGAAAGTTACTGCAATTGTTTCATTGTTACAGCCACTATTGAAAAATACCATTTTGAAATTTACCTTTTATTCATGTCGTTTCGTATAGTTCGCATCATTTTGTTAATGCTGTCAAACTGCGCTTATCTCTGATATTGAATTCTGTCAACTGCGCTCATCTCTGATACTGAATGCGCTGTTCAGTTTTGAATATGTTGACAATGTATATTTGCTAGATGACATCAAGCTTAAGCAAGCAAAGGTATACATCACTAGGACGAAATTAATGAAGACCGTATGATAGCCATAGATTGCATCATTCCTGATTTGAAAAAGTATATTATCCATATTAATTCCGGTTTTCTATTTTTTTTTTTTTTTGTTTTCTCTCTTAATGGTCTGCGAATTTTTGAATGAAAATCATGAAAATCTGTGACAATATAAATGAAACTCAAAATAAAGTGCTTTTTTTAACATAATTAGGAAATATGAAAAGAAGAAGCTACAAATTTTGCTAAACAACATAAAGAAAAAATAATGAAGCTAATTTGATTAAACAATAAAAAAAACGGAAGAAGCCGGAAGAAAGAGAATGAATGGTGATAATTAAAATCTCAGATTCAATAATACTAATAATATGCTACTATAATATGGAATATTGATATTATGATATACAGTAAAATTTAAAGATGGTCAATTTAAAGAAAAAAAACAGAGAAGAAAGAAAGAAAGAAAAGAATAAACAAACAAATAAACAAATAAAAGCTGAAGAAGAATAAATTATTACATATTTTTGTTTGACAGAATATATCTCTTTGTATAATGTTGCATCTAATCCTTAATTGTTTACTGAATAATTTATTGCGCTTATTTGTATTTCTTTTTATTTTAAAAAGAAAAAAAATTTATTTCTTAGCAAAAACATTAAATAAATAAAGCAAATTAGTTTTAATTAAAATATACAATCAGTGGTATATTTCCATGTAAATATTAGTATTGTATTTTATTGAATTTAAAAACTGCAATTCCTTTTTCTTTTTCAAGTCATTTATGAAATTTGATATTGTTTTCTTTTCAGTTCTTTTTTGCTTGATTTACGTCAATTTTTCTTTCGATTTATGCATTTTTTTGATAAAAAAAAAGTTTAATGAATGAATTCAAAATCAAGATCATCGGTACTTTTTTTGTCTCCAAACAGTCCATCTCTTTTGGTGTCCTTATCACCTTGATTTGTCATTGTTGTAATAGTGGTGATAGTAGTTCCGGTAGAATGATGAGTATCAATAGATCCACCAATTAAATTATCATCATGACTCTTAAATTTATCAGCATCACCGGCTAAAAATTCTTTAGTATCGCCGAAGTCTGATGATAACCTATCATTTCCACTAGAAATGCTGTAACTCTCGGTATGAACCTCATATCTACGTCCATCATCTCCTATCATTTCTTCCGTCTTCATTGTAAATTGCAAATCCGGTTCATGTTTTCCATCATCTTCACTGAGCATCTCACCAAATTTATTTCTTGTTGATGAGATCAAACTTTGTACAGAATCTGGTATAGCTGATGAAATAAATCCAGTTAATCCATGTCTATGGGTTGTTGTACTATTATCTATTCCAGATTTGTCAAAATCAAATTTCGTTTCTACCTGATTTATATCAACTTTTCCACTCAGTAAATTCTCATCATTTTTTGCATCTTTTGCTTTATCAATAGGAATTCCACAAATTTCACTTTGATAAGTTTCATCAGGTGATTGTCCAGGAACTGAATGTTTATCATAGTATTCTTCATATACAACAGACTCTCCATTTCCGCTCATTAATGTTGAACCAAATAATGTTGAATATGTTGGTGATGATACTTTATAATGGTTCGCTTCATTTGACAATTCATTCCATCCTGCTTGATTAATTCTACCTTCTATGAAACCTTCTATATGTTGATCGTTAAAATCTTTAGCTAGAGGATATTTGTCATCATCAACTGTCATATCTTTTCTTATAATTGCTTCTGATCGTGAATCATTGTTTATACCATTGTCTAAATTTTCAAAATGATTATCAGTTAAGCCTTTTGTCATATCAGTTCCATTAGTTTTTTCTAAAAAATCTTCTTCTATACCTTCTGAAATATGATCTTCAGTTATATCTTTCGGAATATAAGCTTCCGTTACACCTTCAGAAGTATGACTTCCTATGACATCGTTTTCAAAATGATCTTGTAAATAATCCTGCTTATCTTTCTCATTACTTTGTCTTATTTCATGATATCCTTCGGTATTATCATGAAACTCTGAAGCATTCGCAAATTGTTCATTGTCTTTTTCAGATGAATGTTCAATTTGATGCGCCATTGAATCACCCATAAATGATGTTGTCATTTCGGCTGAAATATTATATATTTCCTTATGCATTACCTCTTCTACAACATTTTCATCGATGACACAATTCTCATCTTCAACAGAAGGTTCTTTATCTTTCATCAAATATTTCTCATTTTCAGCAATTGGATTTTCTGCACTTTCATTTCCGGCATTTTCTTCCATGGATTTCATTTCATCATCATCGTTAGCATCTCTAACTTCCTCAACAATTCCAGAAATAATCGGTTTATCATTATCTGATAAACCTGAGATAACTTCTACTGCTGTTTCTTTCGCTTCTGATTGTTGTTCATTAGAAGGTAAAGTTATCTCGTGTTGCTCTTCCACATTATCTACTGCTATTGCATTCCTTTCTTCATTTTCTTTATGCAATCCTTCGTTAACATTGCTAACCATTTCATCTCTAAGTTTTAAATCTTCTGTGAATGGCTTTTCAAGAACAGTTTTCATATCACTAAAGCTGTCATCTTGTGTTTCAGTAGTAGTATTCAAAAAATCATTATCATTTCTAGTGATATCATCCGGTTGTGCATCTTGCAGTACTGATGATTCAACTGGTTCTGATTGAGGTGGTTCCGAGAAGTCTGATTTAGTTAGAATCACTTTTTCAATTGTTTCCTCAATAATATCCATACCAATATCATCCGAATTTTCATGTCGTTTCACCACCGTATGAATCGAATCTTCAACCGTATTTTCCTGTAAATCACCTGATGCTCCATAATCGAGTTGTTTCTTCATTACATGATGTGTTTCCTCCTCTATCATTACATTTTCCGTATCATCCATTCTTGTGATTGGTTCATTTTCTACTGGTTCTTCATTTAATATCATAGCATTAGTAGATTCTGTACTTTTTGATAGTTGTTGAATTCGTTTAAGCATATCTTCATCTAGCAATTCCGGATGTACAATTGTTTTCGGATAACCGATAATTAATTCATCATCATCAGCTAATTTTTGCTTTTCATGTAAATGCAAATCTTTCTTAAATTGTTCAATATGATCAGGATTTGATGCATCCATTACAGTTAACAAATAACCATGCTGCCAAAGTTGTGATCCGGCAAATTTTATCCTGAAAAATTAGCCTAATATAATATAACACTGTTTTATCATATTTTTTAGCTTAATTCTTAAATACATTTTAAATATTTATCCCCATTTTATTTTATTTCAATGTTATTTTTGTAGAAACTTTTTTTTTTTTTTTTTAGCATCGTTATTTATACGATTTCCAGAATTTACCGCAATATTTGTATTGCAAACATCCCAAATCATTTCTTTTTCTTTTTTTTTAAATCAAAAAAAAAGTTTTTGATAGCTAAATCTGTTCATTCATTTCTTAATATTCAGAAGTAATGAAAATAAATTTAAAAAAATTGGTCGAAAAAAAAAAAAGATGAAGCATACTCAACGGAATAATCCATTGGTTCAAATAATGATTTTGTTGCACTTTTCACCTCTCCAGCAAATAATCTTTTCGGTAGATCTTTAATTTCAATTATTACAAAAAAGTAATCTTTCCACTTTTCCAACATTTCAATTATTAAAAATAAACAATTGCAATTTTGATTTGTTTACATTTAAAAAATTTTCCATTCAATCTATCTTCTTTTTTATAACTCTGGATGAAAGTAAATTGTAAATTAATTTATGAATAAAATTTTTAGATTTTAAATTTAAATTAGAAACCTCTTACCAATATTTAGTCATTTATAATAAAAAGAATATTTAAGAATAAATACTTGATATCACCTGGCTCAGCAGCTACAGGTCTTGCAAGTGAAACACCTGCTGCCCAACCGTTATGAATTGCAGCAAGCATTTGCGCAAGTGTTACAAATCCGCCATTCATAAACAATTTTGTTCGCGTCAAATGTTTTCGCATCTGAAGGAATTTTTTATGCATGTGAGAAATTCAATTCGTGAATTCAAAATTTAAATTCAAAATGAAACATCCAATTTAGAAATAAATTCAGTTAAATGGATTCATTAAATGAGCAAATTGTACGATTATTATAACTAAAAAAAAAAATTGAAAACTAAATATGCCAATACTTCGAGGTGTTAATTACAAATTATTTTTTTTTAAAAAAAAAAGAGCATTAAGTAAATGAGAATAAAAAAAACATACTGTAAGTACAAATTTTTGATAAAAATATTCACACTTCTTCGGATCATCTCCACGTTTTAGATCTTTGATTAAATCATAATGTCCACCAGTTATAGCTATATAATCAAAACCAGTTTTCTGTAACAAAAAAGAGTAAATAAATGAATAAATGAAAGTAAGAGTAAATTGAGAAATTTTTGAAATATGAAATGATATTAAATACTTTTCTTGTAAAAAAAAAAAAAAAAGAACAAAGAGAAAGATAAGTGCATTGTAAAAAAGCTAATTAGTGATAAGGAAGATGCAATTTCCTGGTATTTAATTTCAATAGTGAAGAAAATAAATTCATTATACGATTTGAAATTAGAAAAAAATATCACTAACTGCAAATTAGCTACATTGTTGAATAAACTGTGAAAATATTTTTCTTTTTTATTTTTTTTTTTATTATTTTTATTTATTTATTTACTTATTTTCCTTTTTTGTAGCATTTAGTTTTGATAGTGAAAAATGAATTGAGCAAATAGCAAACGATGAATTTCAGCTAATGAACTAAAATGATTAATCACTGTGTAATCATTAAAATTTGATTTTCACTAAGAATCCAAAAATTAATAAAAAAAGAAGAAATAGAATATGATAATATGGAATTTGTACAACTTTTTTTTTTCTTTTTTGAAAATCTAGAAGATGGAATCGAGATGGTGTAACTAATTTAACTTTTTCAGATAATCTGTCAAATGTAAATAATCCCTTAACAATTTTATATGTGGCGCATTTGTCTCATCAAATAATTTATTAATTTACTGAATCCATTATAAACTGCTCATCAACTAATATAAACAGCTTCAGTTTGTTTTTGCAGAATAAAGAAGAATTTGACATTTTGATTAAACTATTGAAAAAAAAAAAATAAGAAATGATATGGGAAGTGAAATAATTAGTTACTAATTTATCAACGCCTTTTGATTCTATTTGTTTAGCGCAAAGCAAAAATTAGATGAAAGTAAAAAGTGTTAGAGTTTAAACTGAAGAAATGAATTTAAACTGAAAATACAATTTGCTGAAATAATTTTTGCAAATGCAAAATTTTTAAAGAATTTTTTTTATTTGCATTATTTATTTTATTATAGCTTTGAAAATATTAACAAACTTTTTTTGATAATTATGTAAAAAATTTAAATGATAATGACAAAAAGAAAATATGCTAACCTCAACGTTATGAACAAATTCACCAAATGCATCATTGTTGTAATCAGGCTCAAAATTGCCACAGAATAATTTCAGGCCAATTACAAAACGGCTTGGCTTACAGATTTTCATCCTTGAAAAAAGGAAAAAAAAAATTTAGGGAAAAAATATACTTGTAACATACATATAATATAATATGCTAATAATATGTGTCAATTTGAATTTCTCCTTTTGAGTGTTAAATGAAAAAAAAAAGAAAATTCAAGCTTAAATGAATTTTGAGAATACTTTAAAATAATCATTCGCATATGATTAATACCATAAAAGCAAAAAATTTGTAAAATTTTGATAAATTTATTGTTAAAAAAAATAATTAGGAAAAAATTTATAAATTACTAAATGAAAAAATTTTTTAGAAAATTGATACCGTATAGCTTGAATAATTTTGAATAAAATTTTAGCACGATTTTCCAATTTGCCACCAAATTCATCGTTACGAATATTATCACTGCTTGTGATAAGTTGACCAAGAGCAAAGAAATAAGTGCATGAAATTTCCACACCATTGAAACCTTAATTAATCAAATTTTATCAGCAAAAATTTTGCCATATTAATGCGCTTACAGTAGAAGTAATTACTGTAATTTAAGTTATTGCTAACAAAAGGAAATTCAATTATTTACAACTTTTTTAAAAAAAAAGGAAAAAAAGAAGTATTTTGTGATAGATAAGACAATATTATTAGTTTAACATTAAGATCTGATATAGCGTAATATTTGAGAAAATCAAAAACTTAATATGAAAATCAGTTTAATTTGGTATTAAAATAATAGCTAGAAATACCTATACTGTTGTAACATATTAATTACATGTTATCAGGCAAGTGATATGATATTCAATCAAATTGATGATACCTAATCAATTCATTGTGGAATTTTATTTTGGAAGCAAATGAAATTCATCAGCAACATTTTCCGGAACAGAAAAATGAAGCAAATTTTTATTGGTCTGAAAGAAATGAAAACAAACCACATTGCTGAGCATAGCTTGCAGCATAAGCATATTCATTAATTAGTTCTCCAATTTGTTTCCGTGTCAATTTATTGATATTAAAATCCGTTTTATGTGGCAAATCAGCGGCATATTTTCCAGGCTAAAATAAAAAGGAAAATAGGAAATGAAGATGTGAAAATGACACAATAATGTAATAATTATTAATTAGTATATATTTCATTTTTTTTTATGGCACAAAATTTTAATTAAATTATTAACCACTAAATTTGTTGTGTTTTCCTTTTTGTATGTTTTTTTTTTCTTTTTCTCTGTTTCGTATCATAACCATACATTTACAATTTTTTTTTTTTTTTTTAATTTTTATTATTAACTTTTATAACAGACAAAAATTTTAATTCTGAGATGCAAAATTTTAAAATTCGCATTTTTTCTTTCGAATTTAATAATAGCTTAATGATTAAACACAAAGATTGTGACGTATAAGGATAAGCTGACACATTAAACAAGTAATTTCAATTGAAAGTAAGGATAAAAATTTCTGATTTAAAGTTAAATACAATTTTTGAATTAATTTACAGTAGCAAAATTCGTTTCAGCAAGTTTTATTATTATTTTTTCTTAAAAAAGAGAATAATTTTTCTTTTTTTTTTTCTTTGAAAAGGAAATAATTTAGAATAATTCCATCAGAATAGAATTTCTCATATAACCATAACTGTTATAAGTTTTTTTTTTCCTTCACTAACTAAAATGGAACTTTTTTCTCTTTAAAACTAAACCAACAACTTATACAACAGAATTATTTCAAATTTAAAAACTGCAACAAATTAATTCAATCATTTTAATTTCAAAAAGATATGTGATTAAGTATTAATTTTGACTAAAAATAAAACAATGATATGTATTTTTTTTTTTTTTTTTTTGACAAATTATATGATTATAATCATTTTATTTTATAAAAATATTTATTTATAGAATAAAGAAAAATTATTAATTTATTTCATCATATTTATTGATTTGTTTACTTTTCTCATCAATACAGATAGAGGAATATCCTCGAAGAGACCAATTATCTACTTTTCAATATACGTTTTCCTAATATTACTTATCAAATAATTGAATTGATTTGCATTAAATTGAAATCATTACAGAGAGATTTTAAAAAAATATGAAAATAAAAGAGGAATGAAAAAAATATTAAAAAAAAAAATATATTTTTATATTTTTAAAAAAAGAAAAACAAACATGGAATAGCTGAGCGATAATAATACTTCCATTTCTTTTAGCGCATTGGGTCCATTCCTTAAATGCATTACGACGTTCTTCAGAATCCAGTTCCTTATCGATGATTACATTGCCGGGAGCTTCAATATCTTTCTAAAATGTTTAAGCAAAAGCTAATAGAAAATTTAAAAAAAAAACGAGAAAAAGAAATTGATATTTTAAGTAAATCAAAATTACCTTGAAAATATTGAAATAGAATAAAAAAAAAATATTTCTAATTTTAATAATAAATTTAAAAAAAAGTAGAAATAAATTTTTATTTTTTATTTTCATGTTATAGAGGAGAAAAAAAAAACAAGAAAAATTGAATTCGAATTTTATTTTCACAAAAATTCTGATTGACATTAAATTATCAATCACAATTCCATTTTACCAAAAATTTTTTTAAATTTAAAAGCAAAAAAAAAAAAAAAAAAAGGAAGAAAAAATTTCAAACAAAATACAAAGAATAGATTTTAAATAAATTACATATGCCATATGCTAAGAATGCTGTCCTTTTCAAAATTGTTTTATCGTAAAATTTTGATTAATTTTTTTTCTCCTCTTTTTTTTTCGTGACAGTGAATAAAAAAAAAAATGATTTCTTTTTATTGGTTTAAAAAAAAAAAAAAAAGAATGAAAATTTTCTTTTTAAAGAAATATTGTAGTTTTGTAAAAGAAGTTACAAAAACGAAACGATATTAATTATCGTTTTTTTCATGTTGTTAATTACAATTTACAATTAAATTTTTTTTCTTTAACAATTTAACAAAAAAATAAAAGAAGGAGAAATAATACAATGACAATATTTTACTTATTAAACTAGATAATAGTTCATTTATAGCAGTATCATCAACATCATGTTAACAAAACAAAAAAAAAAAAAATTACCCCATTAATTATAATACAGCCAGTAACGATGGTCCCAAAACCTCCATCAGCAAATTTTTCATACAAATTAATCAACTCGCGTGTTGGTATACCACTCTTCTTCATATCATTCTTATTGTATGTTGCAAGCTAAATTGATAAAAATAAACAAATAACAAAAGAGAAAAAAACAAATAAACAAACTAATGAAAAAAAAGAATAAATAAATGATAATATGATGAAATTTTCAATTAAACTCAAGAATACATTCATTTAATTTTCAATTATAAATTATCAAAAAGTTTTCTAAACTAAAATATTCCAGTATTTTAAAAAGTATGGAAAAAATGATAAATAAAATAAGATAAAATCGTGTAATAAAGGATCTTTTTTTTTTTTGACTGCCATTATTTTGTCTTTTCTTAATTACTAATTTTGAATAAACAATTTGGTAATTAGTCATATGAAATGCATTATTTAAAATAAAACATGATTTTAATTAATTATTTGAATTGCTAATATACCATCTTTTTGTTTCTTCATTCATTATTTTGCACAACAAAAGCACAAATTGAAAAGTACTTAAATTGTGAAGAGGGAAGTTAAAGAATGAATTGAGAATTTATGCGGTTGTAATCCAATAAGTGACAACAAGTAGCATATTTGGTTGCTTATTTTAGCATTAAATGTCTAATGAATATTTACAAGACTGATTTTTAATTTTAGTAAGTTCCTTTTTTTTTTTTTCAATATAATAGTGAATGTGATGAGTCATTTAATTAAAATAGAATCCTTTTTCATTGAGAGTTAAAAAAAAAAAAATATTGCAAACAGATAAAGTGAAAGTTTTTAAAATGTTGAATGTGTATAATGAAGTAGAAATAAAAATAAATAATGGAATATTGGAAATTTAAATTTCACTTTTCCATTTTTAATAGATACTAAATACTATTTTATTGTGTGTTATTTTATTTTGCTGATTTAAATAGAAAAATAAATGCACCTATCAAGTATTAAAAGGACAAAGAAAAAAATAGAAATAACAATAAAAGGTAAAATTCAGTTAAGTTCATTTTTTCTTATGCATTCTTTCTATTCCTTTTCCTATTGTCCAATTTTTATTGATGAAATATAAAGAGGGAAAATGTAACGAAACTTTTTGATTAATAAAACTTTTCCAACGACCCTTTATCAATCACTTTCGGAACATTTAAAATGAAATGAATGCTTTTTGAATCACCTTTTTTTTTTTTTCGTTTAAATTTCATTTAAATGATAAATAAGTCTGAAAAATCAGGTCAAATCAATTTTGAAAAACTAAATTGTGTAAGTTTTGATTAAAGACACATCATATTGTATCAACAAATCATTTATCTTAAGCTTTAAATAAACAAATGAATCAGTAAAGTAAATTGCAAGTTGTTGAAATTTGATTACCTGTTCACTCATTGCGCTTTTCATCATTCGATTTGGCGCAACAACGTTACTTGCATACGGGAAACGTAATCGTTCACCAAGAATTACCTTAACCATTTCTTGATCCACATCCGAACAGTCCCAACGTGTTGTCGGTTCTTTACTGCTATTAAGAATACCGTTTGCTACCATTTCACGCACGTTTTTTTTTTTTTCAACGCTTAAAAAAAAAGTATTAGAAATGAAAAAAGAATAAATGAAGTATGTAACGCATACTTTTTCAATGATTCAAATGAAAGGTGAAGAAGAAAAAAAGAAGAAACAGTGAAGAAAATTCGATGGAAAATGATAATTTTAAGATAATTTTCTAATTTCAACAAATTCATTATTTGTTCAGTTGGGAATATTTTTTAAAAGAAAGGAAAAAAAGTGCAAAAATTTTTACAATCTCTGAAAGTTTCATCTTATTAAAAAATATTCAGACGAAAAGATATAGCAATAAAAGATGAAATTTTTATCAATCAAAATTATGCGTACATTAAAATTGTTGCACTATTTATATAGCATTTATAAGTTCAATTTTTATTTGCGTATTCAGAAATTAAAATGTGAAATAATATTATTACATAAGAGTGATGAAAAAAAAAAAACCACTTGAAACAAACCGATGAAATGAAATATGCCAAGAGTTGCTGTAAATGGCAAGTAATTATGAGAAAAAGATTGATATGAACAATTGTGTGAATTTAAATTTGTCATGAAAGTTGGTTAGCTTATTAAAGAGAAATGTGCTCGATTCGTTAGCATGAACAAATTAAATGCTTATAGCTATTTATAAAATTATTTTATTAAAAAATTTCTCAAATTTTCTCTTCTCACCTTAATTTATTTGTATTATATAACTATTTATTTGTTATTCTTTATAAGACAATAGGATAAGCAGTAATTATAATTATTATGACAAAAATGACACAGACATACATATGTTGTGCAATTTTTTAAATTAAGATATTGCCTAGGTGTTAATTGGTAATAATTTGATTGTCCTCAAGGATATATATTAACAGTGTTAAATCAATAAATGAAATGGAATGGAAAAATTCAATGACAGGTAATTAATAAGTCTACTTCTTTTTCAGTAAATGTCTAGTGTAAATTATTTTGCTCAACACAGAAAGAAAAGTAATGTGTTATAACTTTGAACAATTAATTAAATGCTAAAGTAATATCATTCAACAAGTGTAAATTTCTTATAATAAAAATTATGAAAAAAATTGCGAAAAAAAAAAGAAACTTTAATGAAGGCTAAAGGATGTGGATAAATTAAAATAAATTAAAAAGAAATGAATTTGATAAAATTTATGAAAGTTTTAACTTTGTGATAACTAAAACAGATAAATGTTATATGTAAAGCTGATAAAGTGAAATTTCAGGCTGGTTATTTAATGCAAAAAGATAGAAAGCAGGAAGTTAACAGAAAACGCAGATGACTGATTTAAGCAAAAAAATGAAAAAGGCTAGGTACATTTTTGATGCATCTATATGTTTTATGTGTTCATCTATTTGTCTCGCTTTAGGCTCATAATTTAGGCCTTAGCTAGCTAGACTAGACTAGACTAGACTTCTAACAGTCCTTATATTAGAACATATAGAAAGAGGACTAGAAGTGACAAAGAGAAATGAATGTGAAATGACAATAGCTAAAACGAAAAGTATGTAATGTTTCATACCGAAAAAACAAAATCCTAAAACATATTCGATATGATAAAGATTTCCTTCAAAGCTAACAATCTCTTATTTCAATGTATTATTTCTTTTCTACGGGATTCTTCCAATCTTTCATTCGTATATCAGTCCTAGGGGAAGCGACAACGAACATTTATCTAAATGGGATTTTAAGCAGAAAACACGCAAAGCTTAAAACTTAAGCTAAGAAAAGAAGAAAACATCCAATGTTTTCTTCTTTTCTTAGCTTCAGGTCAATTTGCATATTTATGCATTATTTTACATCCTTAAAGAAAAAAAAAAAGATTATCATTTACAAAAGAAATTTCTAAATTCTTTAATGCATATATATTTTATTCTTTATGCTTTTGTTTTATAACAACGCAATTATCCAATTTCAAATGAATAATAATTATGGCACTGTAAAATTGTTGCGCATATGTCTTATTTTGTTTTGCATTTTGCGCTAGATTTAATTGTTAATTTGGGCAAATATGCTGAAATAAGTGTTCATCTATTTTTTAGATTTTCATTGATCATATCTTCTTGTCTTCATCTTGATACAAATGGAGATTAAAATTCAGTTCGATTAAATTGGAGAAATTAGTTAGAAAAAATTTGGAGGATTATAAAAGCAAAGTTAAAATGCGACATAATTACAATAACAAAGTGTTTGTAGAAATGAAAGAAAAAAAAAAAAAGGAAATTTGATAAAATTTTAAATATTGTGTACTTTCCAATACTAAATACTGTAATACTTATATATAAGATAAAAATGAATAAAATAATCATTTTAATAGTTGTAAAATTGCAAAATGTTATCAAAAAATCGTATTCATAATAATATCAAATAAGTAAGAAATCCATTTGATAAAATTATTTTAAATTAAAGAAAAAAAAATGCTTATTATTTGAATTAAAAAAAAAAATGAAATTATTGCAGAAAAGATTAAATAAATTTGTAAAAAAAAAAGAGTGAAATTTATGATAAGATGAAGAAAAAGAGGGAAGATGAAAGAGAAAAGAGAAAAGAGAATGAAATTGAGGATTGGAATGATGCTAATGGTTACTGGTAGTTTCAATGAATGAAATGCTTCGTTGGTTTTGCAAGAATGAGAAGAAGGAGTGGCATTGAATTTCTTTTTCGACAGCTATGTCTATTTAGAAAAGAAACAAAAAAAAAAAAAAAGTGAAAAAATAAAAAACAAAAAAAAAAATATTAAAATAAACCAAACCCTCAAATTTTTAAACCTACAAAAAAAAAAAAAAAAAAAAAGAAGAATAGTAAAGGAGAAAAATAAATAAATAAAAAAAAAAAGTTTTAAGAAAAAGTAAGTAAGTAAATCTTTCTCTCTCTCTCTCTCTCTTTCTTTCTTTTTCTTTTTTTTTCCATTTCTTCACTTCACTTTTTTTTTTCCTTTATTTTTTCTTTTACCCAATAAAATTAAAATGCAAATCGAACCAATCTTCTTTTGCAATAACTAAACGATTTCATTTCTCAATTTTCCTCATTTTTTTTTTTTTCGTCTATTCTTTTTTGCAATTTTTAAGGAAAATTTTTCAGTAGAAAAAAAAAAAAAAAAAAGAGAAAAAACAAGAAACTGAAGGTTTGTTCGTCTTTTTTTCTTTTTCACATTCTTTTAACAAATAAAAATGAAAAAAAAAAAAAAAGTGAGAGAAAGAACAAAAAAAAAAATGAAAAAGAAGCAATTTTTCAAGCTAGATAATGTACTAAAAACTGAATCAATTTTATTCTCATAATCTGCTTCAATTGACTGACTTTCTATTCATCCATTACCATTTCTTTCTTTCTCTCTCTCTTTCTCTCTCTCTCTCTCTCTTTCTCTTTTTGAATTGTCAATTTCACTTTTACATTTTTTTTTTTTTACATTTCGATTTTAACCGTAGTCTAATTCATCCATTATTGGTATTCTCATACAATCACCACAGATAATGCTTCTTTTCTTCTTTTATTTTCTTTTTTTTTTTTTTTTTTGCTTATTTTAAGAGAGAGAGAGAGAGAGAGAGAGGGAAAGAATAGAAAAGAATAAAGGAAGATAAAAGTATACCCTTTTGTATTATCAGGAAAGATGAAACTTGCCGGTTTTATCCAAACCGTTTTAGGATTCTTTTATAATGCGTACATGCCACACACACATGCATGCATTAAGCCATTGTTATACACTAATTATCTAATCTATTGAATCAGTCATTATTTAGGTCAATAAAATTTCAAACAAATTACTTTCACAAAAAAAAAAAAAAAGAATAAAATAAAAAGAGAGAGAAAAAGAAAAAAAAAAGTATGAAAAATAGTTCCTTGCTGACTAATTTAATCTTCTAAGAAAAAAGAATTATATAAAACAAAAAATGAAATAATTTACATTATAATAATATTGCATACAAAATAAAACCAAAGGTTATGAAGTTACCATTGCTTAAAATACAAAGTAATTTAATCAAATGTGTAATTTCTAATTAAATATCTTTATTGCTAAAAAAAATAAAATAAAAAAGGTTGAAATTAGCAATAATTTAACATTATTATTCAATGTATGCTTTATTATAATGGAAAATCTCAAGAATTTTGCACAAAACAAAATTTTTAATTCTTCTAATTTTCTTTTCAAATTAATTATAAGCATATTTATTTAGAATGTTCATTTGCACTTCTGTTTGCATTGAAAATGAAATGATCATTTGGCTACAATTTCAACGATGATTTGGCACAGTCCAATGATTCTACGCAAAAAGGCTTAACATTTTCATGTAGGAATGTTAAATTTAGCTTTTATAGCAAAAGTTGTTTTATAAATTTGAATTAAAAACGAATCTTAGCTTAATTTAAAGGAAAAATAAGAAATAAAAAATTATGCCTAATTTCTATGAAAGAAGAAACAAACTGAATCAATTCATAAATTTCCAATCAGATTATTACGAAAAAAAAAAAGAAAACTAAAAGAAATATTAATAATAATAAAATCTTTAATACACTTCAACAATAACTGTCACACATGAAATTGATTTATTTAAGTTCAAAAATTTGTAATTCCAAAGGAAAAAAAAAAGCATAAAGGGAACATATATTTTTATTATTCAATTGATCGGAATGAAATAATAACTAAATCATAGCAAATTTCACTTCCGATATTTCCTGATACCAAAGCAAGTAATAAAGGCTGTACGTGCTGCTTCAATTCATCAACATGTCTATAGTTTGAATGTTTCCAAGGTAACGTTTTAAGAATTATTAAAAAAAAAAAAAAAAAAAAAAAAGGTGAAAAAAATTTCACCATAACAACAATCCTGAATATTATGATTATATGTCTGATCTCTCCCTCTCTCTCTTCCTCTTTCTTTATTTTTTTCCTTCTAGATAAACTAATACTAAAATTTTGAAAAATAAAGTAATTGTATTCTTTAAAAGTTTTTTTTTTTTTTTTTAAAGAAAAAGCGAGAAAAATTTT